GCTTAAAATCAGAGATTATTGATGATTTTAACGGTCTGGATGATTGGTTAGTGCCCCCTGGAGGAAATCCTTCAGGGAAAGTATATGCATGTTCTTGGTCTGGTGTCAAATGTGATAAAAACTCCAGCATTGTTATTGGTTTAAATCTTTCAATGAAGAATCTTACAGGTAAGTTACTTGGAAAGCAATTCAGTGTCTTCACTGAGCTTGTTGATCTCAACATCAGTCAAAACTCATTCTCTGGAGAACTTCCTGTTGAAATCTTCAACCTCACCAATCTAAGAAGCTTAGATATGAGCAGAAACAGTTTTTCTGGCCACTTCCCAGGAGGAATCACCGGTCTTCGAAACTTGGTTGTTTTTGATGCTTTTAGCAACAGCTTCTCAGGGCCATTGCCTGTTGAGCTTTCCGAGCTTGAATTTCTGAAGGTGCTCAATTTAGCTGGTAGTTACTTCAATGGACCAATCCCATCCGCCTATGGGTTTTTCAAGAGCCTGGAATTTCTTCACTTAGCAGGGAATTTCCTCTCTGGGAATATACCAACGGAACTGGGTAATCTCAAAACAGTGGCACATATGGAGATTGGCTACAACTCTTATGAAGGTAACATCCCATGGCAGTTGGGAAGCATGAGTGAGCTTCAGTATCTTGATATTGCCGGTGCAAATCTCTCTGGCTCAATACCCAGGCAACTCTCCAATCTCACCAAGCTTCAGTCACTTTTTCTCTTCAGAAACCAGCTCACTGGATTGATTCCATTGGAGTTTAGCAGAATCGTGCCTCTCACCAACTTGGATCTCTCCGATAACTTTATTTGTGGCCCTATTCCTGAGAGCTTTGCAGAATTGAAGAATCTAAGACTGCTCAGTCTTATGTACAATGAAATGAATGGCACTGTCCCAGAAGGCATAGCTGAACTTCCATCATTGGATACTCTGTTTATATGGAACAATTTCTTCACTGGATCACTTCCAGAAAACTTGGGCAGGAGCTCAAAACTTAGATGGTTGGATGTTTCAACAAACAGTTTCATCGGCAGCATTCCACCTGATATTTGTGCAGGTGGTGAGCTATTTAAATTAATCCTGTTTTCTAACAAGTTTACAGGCAGTCTTTCACCTCTATCCAATTGTTCTTCGCTTGTTCGCCTTCGACTTGAGGATAATTCATTCTCAGGTGAAATTCCTTTGAAGTTCAGCCATCCTTCTGATATCACTTACATAGACCTGTCCAGGAACACGTTTACTGGCGGAATTCCCTCAGGTATTTCTCAAGCTTCAAAGCTTCAGTATTTCAATGTCTCTAATAATCCAGAACTAGGGGGAATGATCCCAGAACCAACATGGTCTTTGCCACTTCTTCAAAATTTCTCTGCATCATCATGTAACATCTCTGGGAATCTACCTCCATTCAGATCGTGCAAATCCATTCTGGTTGTTGAACTGCAGATGAACAATTTGTCTGGAGCTGTCCCAAAAAGTATTTCCAATTGCCAGGCACTTGAGACGCTTAATTTAGCTAGCAATCAGTTAATTGGTCATATACCTGAGGAGCTTGCTAGTCTTCCTGCTCTAAGTATTGTGGATTTGTCACGTAATCATTTCAGCGGTTCAATGCCCGCAGCGTTTGGCAAGTCTTCAAACTTAGTACTTCTGAATGTATCATTCAATGATATCTCTGGTGTCATTCCCTCAGAAAAGGTGCTGCAATCAATGGGTAGAAGTGCATATGTTGGAAATCCAGAGCTATGTGGAGCACCTCTTAAATCATGTTCAGGTTCAATAGCAATCTTGGGAAGCAAAAGCACAGGAAAGCTTAGGTTAGTTCTGTTACTCTGTGCAGGAGTAGTCATACTCATTGTGTTATCAGTTTTCTGGCTAATTTACCTCCGCAAAGGCAGCAGAGGCCAATGGATAATGAACTCGTTTATAGGACTCCCACAGTTTACAGTAAATGACATTTTGAGGAGTTTTAATTCTACTGATTCCATGGAAGAATTGCCACCTCTATCAGCTGCAGTTTGCAAAGCAGTGCTACCCACTGGAATAACAGTTTTGGTGAAAAAGATAGAATGGGAGCCAAAGAGAATCAAGGTTGCCTCAGAATTTATAACACAAATGGGAAATGCAAGGCACAGGAATTTGGCCCGACTACTTGGTTTCTGCTACAACAAGCATTTGGCTTATCTGCTGTATGACTACTTGCCTAACGGAAATTTGGCTGAGAAGGTGAGAATGCAAAGAGATTGGGCAACCAAGTACAGAATTATAATTGGAATTGCCAAGGGACTTTGCTTCCTTCACCATGACTGTAATCCTGCAATTTCTCATGGAGATTTGAAGTCAAATAACGTAGTCTTTGATGATAATTTCGAACCCCGTCTAGCAGATTTTGGGTTCAAATATCTGATACAGTTGATCAAAGGTACAGTTCCAGCTACAACTTCCAGATTGGGAACAGGTACAAATCATCTATTCACTTTCCATGGATTCCTTTATTCAAAATCTTGCCATTTCAAACAAACAAAATTAACTTTTTAAGTTAAAAGTCCTTAGATGTTCAAAGCCAAGACAATGTCTGAACAAACTGTAACATACTTTTTTGCCTATGATTAAAAAAAAAAAGAAAAACCTAGAAAATTTTGCTTTCAAAACTACACCTAGACCATTAAAAGTTACTATTATCCATTAAAAGTTACTATTATTCCCCTATGAGCATTCTCTAGAGAGTTTATGAAACAAATTCTTGCTTGAAAAGACATCATTCCAAGAATTCGATGTTGTAAAAAGACGTTATCCTAATTAAGAACCTGATTTTAAGCGATGGCTCAATTTCTGTTAATTCTTTTTCTTTTTGTTCTTGAATTCTTATTTAACATTTGAAACAGGTCAATTCAATGACGCAATCAAAGAGGAACTATACATGGACATACACAACTTTGGGGAGATCATTCTGGAAATATTAACTAATGGTAGGCTGACAAATGCTGGACCAAACATACAGACCAAACCAAGGGATATTCTTTTGAGAGAAATATACAATGACAATGAAGCTGGTTCCATCAATTCTTTGCAAGAGGAAATAAATCTGGTTCTTGACGTTGCTCTGCTTTGCACCAGAAGCAGGGCAGCTGACCGACCTTCTATGGAAGATGCGTTGAAGCTTCTATCAGGGTTGAAGCCGCAAGGCAAATAATAGTACTTTTGAAGAAGAAGAGTTGCAATATTTGCTTCACATCACGGGGAAGGACATCAACGGATACATATATACTGTAGTAAATAGTTTTTTTTATTTGTTTAAGATAAATTATTTGTATTTTGATTTGGTTGCTAGCTTGTTTATATCGATGAATATCTATAGTTATTGTCATATCGGAAAAACAACTGCCATTATCTTGTTTTTCAGGTGGATAGTTTTCCTGTTTATGGCACAATTTAATGAATTTAATCTTTATATAATGCTAAACGTTCATATAAAAACAATTGATAAATGTGCTAAAATTTTACAAATAATTTGAATGAAGTGGCATTTTAGAGATTACATGATTATATACCATATGTCAAGAAAGCAAGTACGTTGTCACTAGCATGCGCGAGAAGGGAAGGTGATAGTGGAGAGGAGAGATTGGGGAGTTGGATGAGTGGTAGTGGTGGGCCACCAAAGAGGACTGTAGCCTTTGAGAGTGAGGAGGTTGGAGAGTCCGGCGGCATAGTTCGGTGGGTTTCACGGTGCTGTTGGAGGTAGAGGCAAGCTTGGGGTTGGGCATCACCATGGCGGTCCGCTCTTCACTTGCTTTTTTTTTTTTTGTACTCCAATAATATATTTTGGTCGGCTGTTGGCACAAAGTCGTTGTAGTATAGTGGTAAGTATTCCCGCCTGTCACGCGGGTGACCCGGGTTCGATCCCCGGCAACGGCGATTAATTTTTGCCAGCTCTTTTGTTTAGAGTAACCCAAAGGGCAAAGGCCCAAACACATATCTTTTCATTATAGATCTTTTAATATATTTCTCAATGGCCCAGACTCAAACCTTTTTGTGTTTTAAGATTTTTTTTTTGGGCCATTGTGTTTTTAAGATTTAACACGTTGACGACAGAACAGATCATTACAACAAAAACAAATCTTTACCGTCTTCATTTCATTGATAGATACTCCAATCTGTCTTGAAGAGTGCTTTAATCTCGTGTTCCGATCTCGTATAATTTGATGTTATCTTCATCTTGTTTCTGGTCTTTATTTCCCCTTTTGTACTAGTTGTGGATAATTAATTTATTTTCTAATGAAACAATTTGTTATCCCGAATATATATATTCATAAAATATACTCATGCTTAAAATTAGGATGAAGCAATTATAGTTTTTTTTTGTAATGAAAATGGTGACGAAAATGGTGTCATCATATCGAGGAGGAGTAGAGTATTAATGATCTAAGAAGAACTGTGATTAAGAAATTTGTATAGAATGAACAGTCAATAATTATTTAATTTTACAGAATCAAACTTTAAAAGTTATATTAAAAAATCACTAAAAACTGTAATTATTTTGGTAAAAAAATTTATAATTATACTATTAGTTTCTTATAATCAAACGGTAGCCAAAGTTGCTTTAAATAAAATTTTAAGTAGTTTATAAACAATTTTATAAATATATTAATTAATATTATCATCAACTAAAATTATAAAACATACGAATATATAAATATGTTCGAATTTTACTCATTTATTAAATAAATTTTAAAATTTTATTTGAAAGTTTTTTTAATAAATTAATATAAACAAACTAGGCATAACCATGAAAAAAAAAAAACAATTCACCATTTAAATATTATAACTACAAATTATACAGCTAATTCTTACGCGACTTACAGAATCTACCGACACCAATTCACGTGGACAACCATCTAGAGAATCTGATACGGGTAAAGAACATTCGAATTTACTTGGGAAAAAAAAAATCCTTATTTGGGTCATTAATGATTTAGCATGGAAGAAATTCAATACCTTAGCTATACTGATCTTTTTTTTTTAATTTTAATTTTTGTACTACTGTAGTAATGTTTAAAACAAAAAAAGACTATGAGTTGTGAGATTTGACTTTCTATTGACTTCCAACGATTCATGAAAAAAAAAAAATCCTAACATACCGCTCACCTTCGTAAACCAAATAGGATTTCGTCTTCCATTGTCCAATCAAAGAAGGTTTTTAGTATTTACTAACGCTGGAAAGTGGAGACACAGGAAAAAAAGCCTTTTTTAACAGTCTTGTCACCGGTGAGGCAAGAATTCCCTCATCGATGCCTGACGGCAAGTTGTCCCCCGACAGGGCCGAGCCGTCCGTTGCCGCTAAAGCTAATACCTCTGCTATACCCTCGCCGATCGTTGAAATCAGCGAAGAAGATGGAGCAAAGGTGGAAAAGAAAGAGAAAGACCCACGAAAGATAGCTAGAAAGTGAGTCCCTTTTTCACCTTTTTTTTTTTTGGTGCATGTAAATATTTATGTATATTTATTTCGTTTTTTGCATTGTGGGTTTGCCTTGCTTTGCTTGTTTCTGATTGCTTTGTGTGAGTTAGTTAAATGAAAAGAGAGCTGTTTGTTTGGCTTGAGGGGGGGGGGGGGGGGAAGGGTTTGGAGGGAAAGCATGAGAAATAGAAAACCTTTTTAGTTGTTTCTGTCTCAAAAATATTGAAAGCCAAGTAAAAGAACCAATAACGACCTTTTTAACTGTTTATTGAGGTTTTATTTCCAACATGCTGTTGGAAGCTCAACCTTGTTCTTTAGTTTTATTTTATTTATTATTTAAAAATTACATTGGGTTTTATGTTTTTATTTAAGGTATCAATTGGAGTTGTGCAAGAAAGCCATGGAAGAGAACATAATAGTATATTTGGGGACTGGCTGTGGGAAGACCCATATTGCAGTGCTCCTTATTTATGAGCTTGGTCATCTGATACGGAAACCCCAGAAAAGAATATGCATTTTTCTTGCACCCACAGTAGCTCTTGTTCAGCAGGTGGGCTACTTTTTATGATTTTCTGACTTAGTACTCAATCTTCAGAAATGATTAAGTTTGTAATATTGTTTTGGCTGAGTTTGGGATTTAGAACGAATGTGAATTGTCGATTATAGATTCTATGCAGAGTAGACCATGCATGGTTTTGAATCAAATCTGCTATGTTTTGTAGCAAGGTCGGGTTATAGAAGATTCTCTTGATTTCAAGGTTGGGACTTATTGTGGAAACTGCAGGCACTTGAAGAACCATCATGACTGGGAAAGAGAGATTGAACAATATGAGGTGATTATGTTCTTTGCTTGACCCAATGTTAATATTTATCCACCTTTTGTTTGACATCCTATGATGGACTCTTTCAAATATAGAAAGATGGAAAAGATTTTCATTGAATGAAAATTTATGCATCATTATTGGCATTCCTGTTTCCCATCAGTAGTGTCATGAGATCAAAGATCCATATATAGAAAGTATAACTTGAAAGAGACATGTCTTTTGAAGTTTACCAAATTAAATTTATTCCACTTCACTAAATATGTTCTTGGTGTTAATTTTTCTTTCTTTTTTCCCCCTTATAGAGGATGTTATGTTTTACTAGGGATTATGGATCCTTGTGGTTTTGCGTCATCCTTGGCTTATATTTCTATTCATGCTGATTGTTTTAGTACAGGTTCTTGTTATGACTCCTCAAATACTACTTCGTAGCTTATACCACTGCTTCATCAGGATGGATTTAATTGCTCTTCTGATATTTGACGAGTGTCATCATGCTCAAATTAAAAGCAATCACCCTTATGCAGAAATCATGAAAGTAAAGTGCTACACAAATTCATCTTTGTACTCTCAATGATACGTACATTAGTTTCCATCTGTTGATGTAGTTTGATTTTCATAGATTACCTTGACAATCATGTAGGTTTTTTATGACAAAGCTACTGCATCAATGCTTCCTCGTATATTTGGCATGACGGCATCTCCCGTTGTTGGTAAAGGTAATGAAAAATTGCATTTCTTTTGTATCAAAAGTTGAGTTCTTACATGGATTAACTATATGACTTTATCACTTCATTTTTTTTTTGTGCAAAATTTTGATTCCCATGGGAAATATGACCGATGAAAAGTGTTTTGAGAATGTGTTATGTGTAAAGGTGGAAGAATATGAATTTGAAAAACTAAGATTCCAACTTCCTACATGTTATCCTTAAGTTTTTATGATATGAATATTTTGGATGATATTGCATCTTTTAGTGCTCTCCAATGATAAATCTTCCACTTGACTGACAGGCTGTTCTAGTCATATAGCTGATATCACATATGTTAATAGTTGCTTTTACAATAACCTTAAACCTTGGTGCGTATATCTTACACTTTCAGATGCTTCTAGTCGAGTAAATTTGCCAAAAAGCATCAACAGTCTTGAAAACTTGCTTGATGCTAAGGTGAGTCTTGGAAACTTTCACTTTTGTGATATAATCTGGTTTTATGCAGTCTTTTATTTTCCTTCTAAAAACTAATTATGGTTGAAGATAGCGATCTAACTAGCTATTCTCAAGGTCAATCGTAATCCTTGCATGATGAATGAAACACCCAAAGAATAGTTTCTGTAGTTCATAGAAAGCTGTTGGGTGCCTAAAGGTTTCCTTGTTATATTAGCACACATGGAGCATCCATTTATGAAGATACTGTTCTTAGTTTATATATTTAAGTTCTTGTAATGCTAATTGTAGATGTTGTGGTCTTCTATAGCTTGTGAAGTGGTAGTCCTCTTAGCCTGAATTGAGGACTTTGGTTTAGTCAACCCTTTCCAAACTATCATAAGCTGGAGTAATGGCAGGTCATAGTGCATCTTGATTTAGTGAGCCGAGGAGGTCCAGGAGATCTAATGGGCTCTCTACTTTCTCAACTGGAGTCTAACCAATCGCTATGTACTTGGTCTGGACTTATGTATATTTAACTATAGGAGAACCATCCGTTTCTTCTATTTGGTGGATCAAACATGTGTTTGGCCCTCTTCACAATTGGGTTTAATCAGTCTCCTTGTAGAACTGCTTAGGTTGAATGATCTAAGTTCTTAGTTCATTGTATAATACACAAAGGATATTTTCAAGTTTTGACGAGACTTAATTTGCCTGAATTAACATTTTTGCTACAACCTTGTATGGTGAGGTAGATGCAGCAATCCTAATTTACTGTGAGCGGAATAAGTAAAGAAGCTTTAATTTTTATGTTTCATATGCTTTTTATCTTCCGCTGCATATGGATTGATTTACCGTGGGCTGAATAAGTAAAGAAATATCTTATCTTGAGTCATTGTGGTCGGTACTGCTACTATGACTGTTTTAAAGATTCAGGCAACCACTGTAATTTTGGCTAAGGGGAGTAATGTTAATCAACATTCGTTGTTGTCATTGTCATCATTATCACTCTCATTCTCCACTCCTTGTTCCGTGTGACTGTTCCACCATAGATCTTTGGAGACGTAGAAAACAGTGGTTGCCTTGTCAATGAGGAATTTTTTTTAAGAAATATTTTTTGGTTATAATCAAAATGCAGGGGGGGGGGATTTTTTTCTTAAATGCTATTTTTTTATTGATCTAGATGCTCATAGTAGTCAATTTTCTAATATTTCTCATGCCATAAATTGTAGGTCTATTCAGTTGGAGATAAGGAGGAACTGGAAAGCTTCATAGCATCTCCTGTTGTTAGAGTATATGATTATGGTCCTGTCAATTTTGGTCCTTCTAGTTCCTACGTGATTTATTGTAGTAAACTTGAGGAGATTAAGCGCCAGGTATGTTGCAGTGACACGTTGCACTTTCTTGAACTTCATTATCTTGAAAGAAGCTTTAATTTTTTCTGTTTCTTTGTGGAAAGAACAGTGCATATCAGCGCTTGGCAGGAAGAATGGTGATTTTCAATCTGTCAGGAACACTAAAAAGCTGCTCAACAGAATGCATGATAATATAATCTTTTGCTTGGAAAATCTTGGACTTTGGGGAGCATTACAGGTAAGACCTTGCAAAATAAATGAATTTCTTTTTTTGTTATTTGGCAGTTGACAGCCTTTCCTTTGCAATAAAATATTCTGCCATCTACTGCTAATGTTACTTTGGCTTTTATTTCATATTCTGCAACCGTTTTCTAGTAGTTCTGAGCAATATTCACAAAGTCTGTCCTCTGCCAATTCATGTTGGCAAATACTGGGTAGAATATAACATTCGATTCATAATAATAATAATAATAATAATAATAATAAAAAAATAATAATAACACCAGTTGACCTTGAACACAGATAGGTGTCTACACTATTCACTAGAGTTTTGTTTTGATAAGTTGTATTTTTTATTCATAGGTCGTTACTCATTACTTGCATTTTGTGTAGGGCACTAAGCAGTGACTATTTAGAGGTTTTTTTTGGCTTATCTCCTTATCTGTTACCAGATGAGAAAGTTGAAATGGTTTGTTTATAGGGCAATTTTTATTTAATTTGTATTAATTCTAGCCCGATGCAGACTTGCAGATAATTGCTGGTTAAAGCATCCAAGGGGAAATTCTGATTTATTCTTTTTTCCCACTGCATTTTGTAGGCTTGCCAACTTCTTTTGACTGGTAATAACTCTGAGAGGAATGAATTGGTAGAAGATGAAGGAATTTTAAGCGACGACTCTGTGTGTGATCGATATCTTGCTCAGGCTGCTGATATTTTTGCCTCCGATTGTAGGAGAGGTATATAATCTGTTCAGTCATTTTAAATTGTAGCTTCAACTTCATTCTAGCTATTGTCTAGTTTCTTGGTGGTTGTATACACAATTTTATTGTGTTCATCAAAGTTTGGTTATGCAGGAGAGATATGGTAATTTGTTTAGGGACTTTCTGGTTGTAGCTTCAACTTAATTCTACCTGCTGTCTCTATTTCTTGAAGGTTGCATACTATTTACTACTTCATTGTATGCATTAAAGTTCTAGTCATTTGTGGATTAGTTGTTGGTTAATGGAGATTCTTAGTTAGATTTTTGAACTTTTATGCTCTGCTAATTGTTTCAGTCAACTTGAGTAAGAATCTCAGCCATTACCTTTGTTGCTAATATCGTAGATGGGACTGCACATGATTTATCTGACGTAGAGATTTTGAAGGAACCATTTTTCTCGAAAAAGCTTTTACGCCTTACTGGAATTCTTTCCACCTTCAGGTTTGTATTCAAGCATGTATAGTGATTTTTGGTTATTTGTTAGATATATTGCATGGAAACTCTATCAGATCATTTCAATAGTTATACTACTTAGTAAATAAAACTGTTTATTTGCATATTATAACGTATGCAGTTCTTCCAGCACTAGGAGGTAAGAGAAGGGACTTAATGCATGATGCTCTATCAGATCATTTCAATAGTTATACTACTTAGTAAATAAAACTGTTTATTTGCATATTATAACGTATGCAGTTCTTCCAGCACTAGGAGGTAAGAGAAGGGACTTAATGCATGATGTGTGATGGTAATTTATTTAGATTTTGAGGGGAGCAGCCATTTGCGGTCAGCCTAAATGCAATGATTGCTCTTCACACTAACTTTGTGTGCACACCGTGTCTCATTTCTTTCTGTCTGGTTTCTTACAAACAAACTCTACCATTGTGTTTTTCATGCCTTTAAGCATTTTTGCTTTTCTCATTATTTAACTAACAAGTAATCTATATTATATACCCATTTCTCTCACAAATTTTTATAATTCCTTTTCCAGGTTACAGCCAAATATGAAATGTGTGCCAAATATGAAATGTATAATTTTTGTGAATAGGATTGTTACTGCAAGATCCTTGTCATACATACTGCAAAAGCTTAAGTTCCTATCTTCTTGGAAGTGCCATTTTCTTGTGGGAGTCCATTCTGGACTTAAAAGTATGTCACGGAAGACAATGAAAAACATTCTTGAGAAGTTCCGAACTGGAGAGGTAATCCTTTTCTGCTAGTGTTAATATTCCTCCTCCACCCTGCCCCCTCTCATGCCATGGGAATTAGTACATCGTTAAATTGTTATTTGTATCTTTGTTTCTTAGCTGACTGGCTCAGTTCATGGTTTGGGCATAATGTGGGGCAGATTGCTTGTACTTATCATTACTATTAATGTTTGCTAAAGGAAGTGAATTTCCTAGTTTTTCAGAGTTGTTATAAGACAGAAGCTCCTCCATTTGGTCTTTATTCTTGTAGCTTGAACATGTAGTTATAATTGGTTGTAGTCTTAATAGAATTATGGGATCTTTAGAGGGTAAAAGTCCCTATTACGGGATAAACAGAAGTATAGAAACTGCTATTGCCTACAGCAATGTCTGCTTGTCTATTGCATAGACTGAACCAATTAGGGAAACTTTTGAAATGGAAAACTAATTGTAGCTATGTAAATACTCTTATTAATTTGACTTCTTTTCTTACTACATCGATCTATTCTTACCTCCAGCAGATGGATGGACATCTCGTAACTTCTGTTGCCTGTTCTTCTCCACTGTTATCCGGGGCATGCTCTTTCTATTCTTATCGTACAAACATTTATGACTATAAAGTAACAAAATCATTTGTCATTTGATAATAACCTGAAAGCTTTTCCATTCATATCTTGCAAAGTTATCATCCGTATGCCTTAGCAGTTTATAGCTACTGTAGCCCATAGAAGCAAACTAAACTATAAAAAAAAAACTATTGAAAAGGAACTTAATGTTGCATCTTGAACTTGGTTACCCCCAGTGCCAAAGCAACTTCAAACTAATATGGTGCATCAAGCAGCTGACACCTTGAAGCTGTTTGCACATTAAGTTGCCTTGAAGTAGTATTGAGAGGATGTCTGTTATCTGCACCGGAAAACCTTGTGTATGTATTGCTATTGGCGGTTTGTGGTCAGTTATTTATTCTTGATTCCTTGAATACTGATTTGGCAGTTGAATCTTTTGGTTGCAACTAAAGTGGGTGAAGAAGGACTTGATATTCAGACATGCTGCCTTGTGATACGTTTTGACCTTCCAGAAACTGTTGCAAGTTTTATCCAATCGAGAGGTCGTGCAAGAATGCCTATGTCTGAGTATGCATTTCTGGTGAACAGGTGCTTTTCATAAAAGTATATGCTATTTGAAGGTCTGTCCATTTGGTTCTCTTTCCGTTATTGGGAAAAAAAAGTTTTCTTTCTCTTGACTTTGCAGTGGGAATGAGAGGGAACTAAATTTGATTAAAAATTTCAAGAAAGATGAAGATCGTATGAATATGGAAATTACTTTCAGAACATCTACTGAGGTTTTTATTGATCTTGAGGAAAGAATGTATAAAGTTGATACATCCGGTGCTTCCATCAGTTCAGGATATAGCATCTCTCTACTTCACCATTACTGCTCAAAACTACCCCATGATGAGTATGCCCTTCCAACTTTTTCATTCTTACCTGCTTTTAAACTTATGATGTCCGCTTCATATGTTTCTGTGTGGAAATTCTTTTACTCATTTAGATTACATACATGAATCTATTTTCAGGTACTTTGATCCCAAGCCAAGCTTCTTTTATTTTGATGATACAGGAGGAACAATCTGCAATATAATCTTACCTTCCAATGCTCCAATAAATGAAATTGCCAGTACACCTCAATCTTCAGTGGATGCTGCTAAAAAAGATGCTTGTCTAAAAGCAATTGAAGAATTGCATAAATTGGGAGCATTGAGTGACCATCTCTTGCCTTTGCAAAACAGTGTTCTTGAGGAGGAAACAGTGCTGGTGTCTTCTTATTCTGGGAGTTCTGAAGGTTGATGCAGAGCAACTTTGTTGTCTTTTTCTTTTTGGTTGGAGGTTGGGGTGATTGGTATAGGATTAATCACTTTTGGTTGTCTTTATTCTCAACAAAATTTGATTTTGTCTGTTGGCAGATGATGATTCACGAGGTGAACTACATGAGATGCTTGTTCCTGCTGCGCTTAAAGAACCATGGACTAACTTGGAAAGCTATGTCCTCCTTAATTCTTATTATATAAAATTTATTCCAGATCCTGAGGATAGGAGCTATAAAAAGTTTGGTCTCTTTGTCAAATCTCCTCTCCCTAAGGAGGCCGAGAGAATGGAGCTGGATCTTCACCTAGCTCGCCGTAGATCAGTGATGACAAAGCTTATCCCATCAGGAGTTGCAGAATTTAAGAGGGAAGAGGTGAGAACATTGTGTTCTGTAGAGTTTGTTCTAATGAACTTACTTACCAAAATTCACTGTCTATACCTACATAAGCAGATCATGCAGGCGCAGCATTTTCAAGAAATGTTCTTAAAGGTCATCCTTGACAGATCAAAACTTCTTTCTGAATTTGTTCCTTTAGGAAACAATGAATTTCTTGCATCAAGCTCCTCAACATTCTATTTATTGCTCCCTGTTATTTTGCACAATAGCGAGAATAAAGTGACAGTGGACTGGAGGATTGTGCAAAGATGTTTGTCATCTCCACTTTTTAAGACTCCTGCAGAAGCTGTAAAGAATGAAAACTTCCGTTCAGATGCTTGCTTACAACTTGCCAATGGTTGTAAGAGTATAAGAGACGTTGAGAATAGTTTGGTGTATGCTCCACACAAGAAGGCATTTTACTTTATTGCTAACATTGTTGGTGAAAAAAACGGTTACAGCCTGTATAGAGACTCAGGCACTTTAAGCCATGTGGAGCACTTAAAAATGTTGGTATCTCAACTCTTGATTCACTACTGTTATCAGCATTATCAGAAATTAGTTTGATTTCTAATGGGAAGGTTATGTTCACCAAGTTGTTCTAGATAGTTTTTATCTAGTATTCAATTGAGGGAGTTTTAACATTAATGTTGTCAATCAGGTCTGACATTCATCTTAAGCATCCTGAACAACCTCTTCTGCATGCAAAGCCACTTTTTAAATTGCACAATTTGCTACACAACCGAAAACCGGAGGATTCAGGTAGCTTTTTGTTTGCTTTGGTTTCATTTCTTGTTATTGTTCCCTTTTTGCTAAGTATGTTGTTTGTTGTACTGGATTTATCTGTGTTCTAAATATAAGATTCAGGGCCTGGCCACTATCTTCATGGGTATATTGCAATTTGTTTTCGTCAGAATGCATTATTATTTCATAACAGGGTTTACAAGATTTATAGTTCATTATTGATTGATTAGTGCTACATTGCGTGTAATTGACATGTAATACGTGATTTAGTTAATTATTTGTTTTTGGGAACCAAAGTTTTTTTGGTCCTTGAGTGTCCTTTTCTTTTTTGACCTGTCATCGTCTTCATTGAGAAAAGACTAGAAAACAAGAAACCTACCAGATTTGAAGTAGCTTACAATCCATGTAGCTTATTTGATGTAAAAGAGATATCTTGAACTGGATTTTTTTGGAAATGAGAAATGCTCAAGTTTGGTCAATGGATTGAGACAATGAGTTCTAACATGATGGTGAGAAACAAAGCTGTAATCTTTCTTTTCTGATCCTATACTTCAGGATTACTAGCTAGTAGGTAGAATCAGGCTATTGCAACAATAAAACACTTTATAACTGGCTTTGTAAGTAGAATGCTGGCCATTCTGTAGTCTGCTTTAGCACTTGTGGACTGATGGAGTTATTGATTTATAATTGGCAGAATGGCCTCCAGAAATGTACTTGTATAACTAATGTTAAAATGTTAATATGTAATATCCGCACCTTTTTAGTATCAATTTGGCATGTTGCTCAAGAAAAGAAGGCAGTTAGAGTGAGGACTTAAAAGGCTTAAGCCACTCTACAATTTAGAAAACTATGGGTTGGTTGCAGTTGGACAGTCTGGGTTTTGCCCTGCCCCCCAATCCAGTCTCATTTTCTTTATCAGCAAATCAAACAAATGAAAAAATGTTTTCTAGTTGATTCTCTCTCTGTCTCTCTCATTTCTTATGGCTGTTTCTTTGTCATAAACAGAATCACAAGAATTGGATGAGTACTTCATTGATTTGCCTCCTGAGCTTTGTCAGTTGAAAATAATAGGCTTCTCCAAAGATATTGGAAGTTCACTTTCTTTGTTACCATCAATTATGCACCGCTTGGAGAACTTGCTTGTGGCGATTGAATTGAGGCATGTTTTTTCTGTGTCATTCCCCAAGGGAGCTGAAGTTACAGCCAATAGGGTAAGGCCTAACTGCATATGATATTATCAATAGTGCTTTTGGTTAAGCAGCCATTAAGTTAGTTACTGTGCTAGTCTAATCATTCAATCATGAAACGCTAGCATATGCATGAATCTTATCTACTACTAACAGTTTGAAATGATGTTAGGTCCTAGAAGCACTCACTACAGAGAAGTGCCAAGAGCGTTTTTCTCTTGAAAGGCTTGAAACACTCGGTGATGCCTTCCTCAAGTTTGCTGTAGGCCGCCATCTTTTTCTTTTACATGATGCACTTGATGAAGGGCAACTGACTAGGAGAAGGTCTAATGCTGTAAATAATTCTAATTTGTTCAAGCTAGCAACAAGGAGTAATTTGCAGGTTTGATTGTGTTTTAGAATGTGATCTTCATCATGCAAAAGTTTTGATTTTTGTTCTGGTTAGTGTAATAGTTATATTTTGAATGAAGTTTACTAGTTGTTCAACATAGCTTTTCAAACATAAAACATTTTTATGATTGCGGTCTGTGATTTTTCACTGGTAACAAAGGTGAACTAATTGCATTAAATGCTAGGGTGCATGTTCATATGTCACTTGTCCAGCATGGATAAATGATCCTAGACCTGTAGACATAGAAAATTATAGACAAATGGAGTATTTATAAAAACGATTAAGCTAAAACACTGTGTTTGGTTAGACCCATCATCTCCCTTCCTCCCTCCCTGCTGATGTTTCACCATTTTTGAATTGTTGGCTGTTTGAGGAGTTTTGGTCATAGTCAAATGCTTCATGTTAATGCCATTTGGAATGAATAATTTGAACCTAAGAAGATTTAACATGTCTAATGTATATTTGGTGCTTTAAGATAAATAATAAATATTTATGATAAGGTATTTCCAATTATTTTCAGGTTTATATACGCGATCAACCTTTTGATCCTTGCCAGTTCTTTGCTTTGGGCCATCCCTGCCCACTAATTTGTACCAAAGAAACTGAAGAAACTATTCATTCGCAATATAGTTATCAAGTAGATCATGCAAATAGTGAAGTCAGATGCAGTAGAAATCACCATTGGCTACATAGGAAAACAATTGCTGATGTGGTTGAGGCTCTTGTAGGAGCATTTATAGTTGATAGTGGCTTCCAAGCTGCAACTGCATTTCTTAGATGGATTGGCATACACATGGACTTCCAAGGTTCTCAAGTTAATAATGTTTGTGCTGCAAGCAAGAGGTTCATGCCACTTTGTTCTAAAGTGGATACCGGAGCTCTTGAAAATTTGTTGGGTTATCAATTTCTTCACAAGGGTCTACTTCTTCAGGCATTTGTGCATCCTTCTCATAATACGCATGGGGGAGGCTGCTACCAGGTCTGCATTATTTCTGCTTTTTTACTTAAAGGAATTAGACTGGTTTGTTCTTTATGTTTCATATCTTTCACCTGACTTGTCAGTTTTTATACCATTCTATTTTCTGATGCTACAATTAATAATACTTTGATATTTTTCCAGAGATTGGAGTTTCTCGGAGATGCTGTCTTGGATTATTTAATCACATCATATCTTTTTTCGGTCTATCCAAAGTTGAAGCCTGGTCAGTTGACTGATTTGAGATCAGTGTCAGTGAACAACAAGTCCTTTGCCAATGTTGCAGTAGATAGATCCTTACACAAATTTCTTATCCATGAATCTTGTCCCCTCAACGAGGCCATAGAAAAATATGTTGACTTCATTACATCATCACCAGAAAGGGGATTGTTTGAAGGGCCAAAATGTCCAAAGGTAGCAATTATTAACTGTTATCTTATGCACTCATGCATACTTTTTTCTTTTTCCCCTATATAACCTGTAAGATATAATGAATTTTAGCCACTCTTTATATAATGAATTTTACTAATGCAAAGCTCCTTCCCTTGCATAAAAGTCAAAAGATATAATCTCCTGATTTATTTCTTAAGATCATATGCTTCCCTCTAATTTCATGCTTCTTTGCAACTGATTTATTTTTCATGTCTATTATCTCATTTGTTGAAGAATATATATGAGTTGTGGATTTTTATTTATTTTTTAATTCAAGTTATGAGGGTTAGGTGGAACTCGATATTCTGATTAAAGCATGCAACTGATATACCTTCATGCCTATTGTCTTATGTGTAGAAGAATATATATATATATATATATATATATGTGGTTGATTTTGATTTTTTTTAAATTTAAATCATGAGGGTTTGGTGGAATTCAAGATCCTGATCGAAGCAAATCTTATTCTTTGCAACTGATATATTTCATCCTGTTGTCTCATTTGAGGATGAAGATATTGGTGGTGGAATTTTTTTAAAATTTTTAATTTGATTTATGAGGGTCTGGTGGAATAGATATTCTGAATAGTCTTAATTTAATAGCTTTAATGTATTGATCCAGGCTCTTGGTGACTTGGTAGAGTCTTGTTTCGGTGCTATTCTCCTTGATACTGGGTTCAACTTGAACCATGTTTGGAAGATAATGCTATCCCTTTTGGATCCAATCAAGAGCCTTTCAAGTGTGCAGCTCAATCCTATCAGGGAATTACAGGAACTTTGCCAGTTTCGTAAGTGGGATCTGAAGTTTCCAACATCTAAAAGTGGCAGAAACTTTTCAGTGGATGCAAAAGTAAATGCAGGAGATGTTCTGGTAGCTGTTTCTGCAATCAACCCTAACAGAAAAGATGCTATCAGAACTGCTTCACATCAAATATATGTAAAGTTAAAGGTACAAGGTGCCCTGCATGCTTTTCTATTCCCTCTTCTTGACACCATTAAAATATAATGCTTTTGGGTTTTTACTTATATTTGACTCCTTTTAGAAGTTTATACTGTTTATAGTGCAATCTTAGTGGGGGTACACGCCAAACTTATGAAGCTTGCCTTTTATTGCTCGTTGATAGACAGAATGATTGTGAATATGCAACTTAATCCCGGGGCCTCATTGTCTTTGAATGTACAGGATCTAGGTTATGCACCCAAGTCAAAGTCCTTAGAGGAAGTTTTAAAGGGAAGCTGCAAGATGGAAGCCAAACTGATTGGATTTGATGAAAAACCAATTGATGTTGCTGATCCTTATACTAATGGATTTGAAAACATGAAATTGCAGCAATCTATTGTGAATGATTTCAACCCCGAAACCTATTCCATTAATAAGGCAACTACTATCTGTCCACCTTGCATCTCACCTGTTACCAGACCTCTGCATTCTTTTGAAGTCAAAGCAGGATGGACGTCATCAAATATTGAAATCAAAGGGCCGCTCCCCAATATCTCCATAGTGGATCCTAATTGTGGGATTGACTTGCTATCCAGAGGTCTGTAATAGTAACATTTTTTTTTTTTGAGTAGTCAGTGTGGAGCAGTTATCTTATTCGTCTCTTAATTTCTCAGGTGAATCACATAAACGGACTGCCAGATCACAGTTATATGAAATTTGTACTATCAATTGTTGGAAACCCCCTTTGTTCGAATGTTGCAAAGAGGAAGGACCAAGCCATTTGAGATCGTAAGTACATGACCTATATGGTATTCCAAATGTTGATTGTTAGAGCTCAAAAGTCTCGTTTAGGATTGAATGAAAGCTGGGAAGTTCACATTATTTCCCCTTTCCTTGATGGATAGTTTTTCTCAAATTCTATATTCAAAATCTTTTGCAGATTCATTTACAGGGTAATTCTTGAAATGGAAGAAGCCCCAGATATGATCTTGGAGTGCTTTGGCAGTCCTAGAACCACAAAGAAGGCTGCAGCAGAGCATGCAGCGGAAGGCGCACTCTGGTACTTGAAACATGAAGGATACTTACAGTAGATTACTTGACAGACTTAACCTCATTGCCAGGCATGTTGAAGATCTTCCCCTGCAGATGTAGTTTTAGATGGTAGCTTGAATTTAGTCAATTTTACTATCCCAATTCAATGGTTTTAGTCATTCTTATTCCAATTTTAATGTTCATTCTTACACTTTCATTAGAAGTCGAGTTAAAGGATAATTAATAACGGCATTAAAAATTTGCTTTTAACTTGCATATACGATATGGCATTTTGGTGATGACCTTGCATGCTTAGTTAGATTAATTTTTTTGACCAAAATAAATCATATTTTACTTAAATTAAACAATAATAACTATATTTTGTGCTAACGTGTGTCATGTAGCCAAAAAATTCTATTTCTGTGTCATGCAACCGAATCTAATTAAAAAAGTTTAACATTGTTACTAATTTCCTTGATTTGATTTTTAATATTAAAATTGGGGTAGAAAGCTAAAACCGTTGGATATTGAGACAGTAAAGGGATAAAATTTAGACTTTGGTCGTCTAATTTGTTTTATGTTGGATGATGTTTCTCTCTCTCTCTCTCTCTCTCTCTCTCTATATATATATATATATATATATATATGGCTGTCAAAAATTTTTTTTAACAAATGCATCACGAAATTTGACCATCTTCTAAATGATCAAATATATGATCATAAAAATATATATATTTATAATTAAATGAATTGGTTTTAATTAAATAAATTCACTCGTCAATTTTAAATTGTTATAATTTTTTAAAGGTGGAGTTAATCTAAATAATCTGCTTGACATGTGTCCTTTATTTTATTGGGCTTTCTTTTTTCATTTGGGCCTCGTAGCTTGGTATAAGAGGACGGGCCACCATTTAAACCCATCAGATTCACTTAACCCAATCCAATCCGCAATCACGAGTGTCTCACGCACCTGCGAGGCCATTTTCCCCGCCAAAACTCCATCCCCTTCCCGCCCAAAAGAATCCCGCTTATCATTAGCGTAGACCATAGAGGAAAAACAATCGCCCCAGAGAGAACGCTTCTTCATTTCAGTGAGAGAGAGAGAGAGAGAAGATAATCAAAGAAAAATAAGAAAATGTCTGGATGGGACGAAGGAGCGGTGTACTACAGCAACCAGGCGCAGTTCACGGAAGCCTCCTCGGAAGTGGAAGCCGCCGCCTCATCCGCCACCGCGAGTCGCCATTCCATCCTCCTAAAATTCAAGGAGTTCATCAGAAACTTCGAGAAGGAGAAGAACTTGTTCCCATACAGAGAAAACCTCGTCAACAACCCTAAATTCCTAGTGGTCCATCTCGAAGACCTTCTCTCCTTCGATTCCGATCTCCCTTCCCTCCTTCGCTCCTCTCCCTCCGATTACTTACCTCTGGTAAAAACATTTTTACAAATCTTACTATTAATTCTATCGAAATAGATTCTTTTAGCATAAGATTTTTGGTTCTCAACAATCGATGCAGTTTGAGACAGCGGCTGCGGAGGTTTTGGCGGGTTTGAAGATGAAAGTAGCGGGAGATTCAGGTGAAATGGTGGAGCCACAGACAGGCGAGGTTCAGATTTTGCTTAAATCAAAGGAGGATCCAGTTTCTATGCGCTCACTGGGGGTAATTTTTTGGAATACGTTTGATCCATTGGTTTGAAAAGAACGGTTACTTACAGTTTTGACCCTTTATTTCCCCTTTTCCTAGGCTCAATATATATCAAAATTAGTTAAGATATCGGGAATTACCATTGCTGCTTCAAGGGTTAAGGCAAAAGCAACTTATGTGCAATTAATCTGTAAGAACTGTAAAAGTCCAAGGACAGTTCCCTGCCGTCCAGGTCTTGGTGGGGCAATTGTTCCACGATCATGTGACCATATACCCCAGGTTTATTCATTACTACAGTTTGTTGTTGCTTTTTCGAATATTACTAATTTCAAGTCAAATCTCTGATAGAAGTTACGGAATGTCTGTAGCCTGGGGAAGAACCTTGCCCTATTGATCCCTGGCTTGTGGTCCCTGATAGGAGCAAGTATGTTGACCAACAAACCCTGAAACTGCAGGAAAATCCAGAGGTAAGGGTCTTGATTTTAGTAGAAATATTAGCTAGTTATGAAATTTATTTGCTGATGTGTTTATGTTAAATTTGAAGGATGTACCTACTGGGGAACTTCCTAGAAATATGTTGCTTTCAGTGGACCGTCATTTGGTTCAAACCATTGTACCTGGTACAAGATTGACAATAATGGGGATTTATAGTATCTTTCAAGCTGCCAATTCATCAACAAAGTAAGTCTTTATGCATGGAGTTGAATGCTTACTGTATTTTGACTCTCATCTTTCTCTTCTGATTGGAATTCTAATTTGATCTGATTTTATGCAGCCATAAAGGAGCAGTTGCAGTTAGACAGCCTTATATCAGGATAGTGGGAATGGAAGAGACAAATGAAGCCAGTTCTCGAGGACCTGTTACTTTCGCACAGGAAGAGGTAAACATCAAAGTGATCACGAATGTTGTTTACTTAAGAAGTTGCATCGCCACTTTACTGCTTCCTTTCCCTTTGCATCATGCTTTGTGGGTTTGTATCAACTGTGTGCATGATAGTCCTATCCATATGTTCCTGAGCGAGCATGCTTATTTTTTGTTTGAGTTGATTATTTAACTTGCTTGTCTTGTAGTATTCTGCACAAGTGCTAAAATTAAGTTACGATGGATTCCTTTTTTCATCATCATCGCTATTTAAAATGATCATTTGCAGGTAGAAGAATTCAAAAAATTCGCCTCAAATCAAGATACATATGAAGTCATATGCTCCAAGATTGCTCCCTCTATATTTGGTCACGATGATGTCAAGAAGGCTGTTGCTTGTCTTCTTTTTGGAGGAGCCAGGAAAGTAAGTTTCATACCTTAACTTCTATAATTAAATATTCCTTCAATCTACTGCCATCATAATCGTCTTTCACGAACTTGTAGAATTTGCCGGATGGGGTGAAGTTAAGAGGTGATATTAATGTGTTGCTTCTTGGTGATCCATCTACTGCCAAGTCACAGGTTAGTTACATGTTTTTTTTGGTTGGTTGAGGTTGCTGAAATCCACTGCTGGTTGCTTTGCTGTCTCCTTGAGCCCAGTGTCAGTTGTTATCCATTTAGTTTTAGGGCATTTTCTCTGGATTCTCTAGTTCAAGCTATTTCATAATATAATTTCTAATGCTTCTCACACAAGTTGGTGCTAATTTTATGGTTATCACATAAAGTTTCTCAAGTTCGTCGAGAAGACAGCTCCCATTGCTGTTTATACTTCTGGAAAGGGCTCGTCAGCTGCTGGTCTTACAGCTTCAGTTATTCGAGATGGTAGCTCTGTAAGTTCTTGATATGCTTCGGCATATGTGGAGATAATTTTGTTTAACTGGTTACTTTATTTTTGAGAAAAGTTTCCTGCTGAATTGTTAGTTTCGTCTGCCCTTCCATATGGAAGAGTTTCTCACATTGATTCATGTATCTATGCAATGCCAGCGGGAGTTTTATCTTGAAGGAGGAGCCATGGTTTTGGCAGATGGAGGTGTTGTATGTATTGATGAGTTTGATAAGATGAGACCAGAGGATAGGTAAGGTAAATTAGTGGTGAAACTTGTAAGGCCTCACTATGTATGATGCTTATGGAGTTTTGCTTTGTATTGCCTAGGGTTGCTATTCATGAAGCTATGGAGCAACAGACAATATCTATTGCCAAAGCAGGAATAACAACTGTTCTCAATTCCAGAACTTCAGTGCTTGCAGCTGCTAATCCTCCTTCAGGACGTTATGATGATCTTAAGGTCTGCAGCTGCACTTTCTGTTCCTATTTTGTCAATTTCTCCAATTTATGCTTGCTATTCTTATGAAGCAACTGAAAGGAATATATTCGCCTTGCAGACGGCACAAGATAATATTGATTTGCAGACTACAATTCTTTCAAGATTTGACTTGATCTTCATTGTCAAAGATATCAGGATGTATGACCAAGACAAGGTAGTCTAGTTTATTTTTCTTATCTTACATTTCCCCCCCTCAATGGCATTGTTTCAGCTGAGAATTGGTTGTCAGACAGTTTTATTTCTTGATCACTAAACACTAATTCTTCTGTTTTAATGCTGCAAGGGCAAAAAGAAAGCACTCACTTACAGTTTTAACATGACTTCCAAATGCCTGTACAAATGGGCTTTAAACTTCCATTCTCCTTTTGCAGATTATAGCAAGTCATATCATAAAAGTTCATGCATCTGCTCAGACAGCCTCCAATGATAGTAGAGCTTCTAGAGAAGAGAACTGGCTGAAAAGGTATATGTAAAGTGAAGTCACTTTCTATTTTTGATATTAAAGTGAAGTTACTGGACCGTATCCAATGTCTATGCTACCTTGTATCTGCTGCTAAATTTAGTCAAATTTTACAGGTATATACAATATTGTCGAACAGAATGCCACCCTCGCCTATCAGAATCTGCATGTGCTAAACTCCAGAGTGATTATGTAGATATCAGAAGGGTATTCCCAAACTTTAGCCATAAATGAGTATTTTCTTCATGAGTTTGAGCCCGTATTAAACTAACAAAGGAGCCCTTGCTGCCCATTAACACCAGAAATTGTTTGAAATTGATTTTAAAATAATCTCAAGATTTTTTTAATATGCTAACTAAAATTAGTCATCAACATTGGTTATTCTTGTAGGGAATGAGGCAGCAAGCAAATGAGACAGGAGAGGCTGCCGCAATCCCCATCACTGTGAGGCAGCTGGAGGCCATCATAAGGTTAAGCGAGGCTCTTGCAAAAATGAAATTGTAAGTGTTGGTTGTACCAAATCAATTTGAGTTTTGAATGCATAAAATTAAATTTCAAACTGGAAGTTAACTCATCCAGACTCAGTGACTATTACGATAACTAAATTAAAATCTAGCGGCCTATTCTGATATAAACTATTATTAAAATTTGCCACTTTTAACAGCAAACTGGAAATGTATTTTAGGTCACATGTTGCCACTGAAGGTGATGTAGCTGAAGCACTAAGACTTTTTAAAGTTTCCACAATGGATGCAGCACGTTCTGGAATAAACCAACACATTCATATCACTCCTGATATTGCCAATGACATAAAGGTTTGTAGACATTAGTACCTTTCCTTCTACGTTATTGCAGAACTTTTTGTCATGTTGTGTTTTTTCTCAAAGTTACCAAAATTTTGATTATATAGCAAGCAGAAAACCAGATAAAGAGAAGATTGGGAATTGGAAATCGCATATCAGAAAGAAGGTTGATTGATGATCTTACTAGAATGGGGATGAATGAATCAATGGTAAGTAGTGACTTAAATACAGACTCATTGACCTTTTCTATAAGATGCCTAACGTTCCCACTACTCCTGTCGTACTTAATCTTGACATTATGCTTTTGGAGTACCCTCAAAATTTGGTTGGACTTAATTTTAGTATCTTAGTAAATATTAGTAAAAAATATGATAATTTTAGTCAATTCAACCATATTGTGTATTTGTTCAATATCTCATTCAACATACTAGCTGATTTTCTTTGGAGTTTTGTATTTGTAATATTTTGTTATATTTGGCAGGTAAGAAGAGCCATTTTAATTATGCACCAGAGAGGTGAAGTTGAATACCAACGAGAAAGGCGTATTATTGTTCGTAAAGTATAAACTACTGCACTATCACCCATTATTTTCAAGCAATTTATCAGGTCTTCACTGATTAGGAGCAGGTAGCTGAGCCTGATTTTATCTGGCTTCAATCGGTACCGCAAGCATCAATTGTACTACCTTTATGTTCTTTGCTAACAAAAAGTTGTATTATACCGCAACTGAGGTTTGGCTTTTCTCGTCCGAGGGTCTTAATGTGTCGTTTCAATTCCAATCTTGGAATGTTACTTAGCTATTTTAGTTGATATGAAAGTCTTTACAAATCAAATCCATCACTGTATCGGTTACGGCAAACCTTTGTGAGTGATGAAAAGCCCGTCTTGATTTTCAAACCACTCAACCCAACATCCAAATTTAGTGCTGAAGTCATTTTCCTGTTTGTTTGCTTGTCATTGTTAATTTCGTCTATAATACTAATCCCAATGAACTTTACCAAAATCTTGGGACAATTATACAAAAATCTTACTAATAAAGTGTGCGGTTAGTAATTTATAATTCTGTGATTTGATGGTAAAATATTAAAATTTTAATTAAAAAATTAATTTTTTTTACTTTTTAATCACTTACTAAGCCTTAAGCCAAAAAATGTACAAATTAATTCCTACCAGAAAAAAAGATGAGGAAAGGCTAACAGCTAAACCTTCAAGTTTGGAATGGAAATTATTCTAAGTCCAAACTTTATGTTTAACAATTAACATTGAAAAATGACGTAGAAATATTTTAAATCTCCAAAGTAGTAATAATAGTATTGATTTTCTAGTAGTATTTCTTTATATTATTACTACCACAACAAAGACAACCCAAAAAAAAAACAGAAAGTCTAAAAGTCCAATGAAATGAAACACCGGCAGTCTCAAACTCTCATCTCCGCGCTCTTAAAATAAATATTATTTTTCCCGTTTCTTATTCTACAGCGTTGAACTTGAACCCCACAATCAATTTGAAAGACGTAGAAGGAGAGGCTTATTCCGTTACTCTCCTCTGCAAATCCCCCCCATAGCCATAGGGCAATCAGTATCTTTAAACCCTAACCTGGTAACCCCTCAACAACAGATGCTTCTCTTAACCCACTCTGGAAAACTCACTTCCCCACTCCTTTCTTCTCTCTCCCAACGTCCTCTCAGGTTCCTTAACCTCCTCCACTCTTCCCTTAAATTCATATTTACAGTTAAGTTCTAACGTCAACGTTGTTATTTTCTTTATGAATGCAGATATGCAGTTCTTGGTGCTGGTTTTGCTGGCCTCTCTGTTGCATGGCATTTACTCAAGGTACCCCCTTCGCTTTGAAATTCAAAATCTTTTATCATTACTGTTAATGGGTTTCATTTGAATTTTTTGATTCTTGTCGACACTGCTTTGCAGGAGAGTCCTAAGGATTTGCATCTGCAAATTGACTTGTATGATGAAATGGGTATTGGAGGAGGTGCTTCAGGAGTCTCTGGAGGACTCCTTCACCCCTATTCTCCTAAAGGTTTTCCATCAACTTCTTTCAATGTATGCTAATCCTTTATGCTATTAATAAAAAAAAAAAAAAAAAAAAAAAAACCTAACTTTTTCCCCCCATGTTTTCAAAAAAATTTTTCCCCTGTTGAGCTTATCGGTGAATATGCTGGCAGTTAAGCTTCTATGGAGGGGCGCCGAGTGTTGGAAAGAATGTCTAAAGCTCTTAAGCATTGCAGAACAAGCCGTTAGCTCCGAGGAATTGGATTCTGAAAATGGAGAATATGGTCAAGATTTTGGTGGGTTTATAGTCCGGAGAAGGTTTGTTTTTGGTCTCTTAAATATGCTTGCTTTCCTTTATTTCACATGCAAATGTCTAATTTTTATCCTCCATTTTTAATATCTTTACCCTTTTAATGGCATTTCATCTTCATTGATTGCCTAAGCGCATATTTTATGGTGCAATCTCAAATTAATTTTATATACATTTTGTTGTGCTTCTGGTGCAATCTGTGCTCACAGGGGCATTCTAAGACCGGCCACCAACATGAAGACTTTGAATGTATTGAATGATGTAATTCCTCAATCCCTCTTAATGCAGCCTTAATTGTTTAAGATATGACATCGATTTTCATGCTAATATTGGCCCTTTTTTTTGCTTGATGAAATCAGAATGCTCAGAACTGCCTTGCCAATTGCAGAATAGAGATCATTGATAAGGACACTGCCCTAAAGCTTGTACCCCCTTTACATATGCCTTTTAACTTAGCTTTTTACATGCCTGGGGCTGTAAATGTGAATTCTCAGTGTTATCTCAAGGTAAGAAGAACTAGGCCACTGATGTTGTTTCAATTTAATCTATGTGTTTAGTTTTTGGTAATTTCCTTCTTTTTTGGTTACCTTATCAGGCACTCTTCTTAGCGTGTCAAAATTTAGTGAAAGAATTATCTGCTTCTGGCTTTGGAGAGAAAAAGCTATGTTTGCAGAAGAAATCTGTTCATGAACTCCGTGAATTAGAAGGTACCACCTATAACATTGTTATCAACTTTACTTTTTTCTAGTAGGGTGTGCTTGTTAGTTGTTAGAAGTGGTGATCTCAAAACTTGTCAAAAAAAAAAAGTTCATCCTCTGGTGGACTTGCTTATATATTTAAAGATTCTGCCTAAGCCAAAAAAAAAAAAAGGGAGGGAGATTGGGAAGAAAGAGCTGTGGAAGCTTTTTAGGCTTAACAGGAGAGTCATTATGTTGATTTTTGGGATGGCTGTGTTTCTTTCTTAATTAATTTATGCTTGTGTTTGTCCTTTAGGGGAATATGATGCTGTGATAATATGCCTAGGTGCCAAAGCTGACTTGCTTCCAGAGCTTGCAGGGAGGCTTCCTTTGAGGACATGTAGAGGTGTTATTTTGCACCTGCGACTGCCTGATAATATAGGGTAAGACTTCTTCTTGCTTGCACTACAAAACTAGAAGACTGGTAATTCAGGCAACAGTTTAAGATATGAAATGTGGAACGAAGTCTTCACCTAAAGCAAGATGTTCTGAGTTCAAAAAGTTTGATATAGTCAATGCATCGAAATGCCTCTAAGAGTGAGATATGTATTAAATTAGGGGATCTAAGCATGGCATAACAAATGATAACTCTAGTTTCCTCTTGCTTTTATAAACCCTACCCCTAACCCCATTGGGGAATAATGAATGCAGACCAAAAGTTTTCTAGCCATCTGGTCTCCGAATGGCCTATTCTTCTCTCTTTGGGTTTATTCACCAAAATTTAGAATAATGTTCTTCAGGGAATATTACCCGGACCATGGACCCTCAATATTGTCAGATGCATGGCTTGCTATCCAAGGGAACCGTAGTTTGTATATGGGTTCAACATGGGAATGGAAGTCAAGAAATTCTTCACCAAGTGTCTCAACAGATGAAGCTTCCAATGCTCTTCAACAGCTTCTACCTAAGGCATCTGCTGTTTATCCAGGGATAACGAGCTGGACTTTTGCAGGAGCAAGGGCAGGTTTGAGGGCAATGCCGCCTCTCACTCCTAATGGATCCCTTCCGCTTTTGGGATGTGTCAACAATTTTTTAGGTGATAATCTTAAATGTAAATATTGGTTACTGGGAGGGCTTGGTTCGAGAGGTTTGTTGTATCATGGTTGGCTGGGTAAGTTGACGGCTGAGGCCGTGCTCTTTTGTAATGAACAAATAATCCCTTCTGAACTAACCTCATGGAATAAAAAACAATAATTGAATGTCACTTTTGGTATAATTCTGTGTTGGCTGGCTTTTCGAACATAATTTGATCAACGAAAGTGAATCACTCTTGAAAGAGTAAAAGAGCATCATAGATTAATAGAAAAAAAGAATTTGAGGTTCTGTTTATAACAATGAGCATCACCGCATATTTCTGCTTGTAACAACTTGCATAGGCTTTGCCTTTGTTTTTCCCCAACCCCATGCATCAGCTGAATGAAACACACTGAAAAAATTAGTCATGACTTACAAGTTCCAGAATTCCAATAATACAACTAAGGAGATGCATATTTATATCGACAGCTTGAATCAAGTCAATAACCCACTTAACATCTCATTCATACACCACTTTTCTAAAACCCTTCTGCCAAGCCAAAATCAATCCAATCCTTACTGTTTTGGATTTCCAGAAGTAGAATACATTGCCCTGCTTCATATAATTGTCAATAACAAAATCATACATGTTAACATTAGCTAATAAGTGCAAAAGCTCATTCCTCAGAATCAGTATTCTTGTCTTGGTGTCCACATATAAACTTGACCCCCACTGGTGGCTCCTGCTAACATCCCAACTTCATGAGGGTGTGAATCAAATCTGCAGGGAATTGCAGACATTTCTGGACTCTGTAAAGTCATAACGGTTCTTCTTTGAGCAGGAGAGATGACATCAACACCCCTTTTCATGTTGCCAATGAAGATGTATGAATCATCCCACCCCCATATTGCTCTGCTTACGGAAAAAGATGATACGATATAAAATTAAAACTCAACCTTATGAATGCAAGATATGGCGTCAAGTTGTCAACTACACAACAGAATATCAAGCAGATTATTTGAGAAGAAAATAGTAGTACATAACAGACAGGCAAAAGCCTACCTGAAAGAAGAAAGCCACCTTCCTGTCCAATTATCATGGTATATCATAGAAATGCCCTCGAAAGTGACTCCACTTATTATACCAATCTTGTTGTCAAAACTACATGAAAAGAAAAAAAATATATTAGTCCAACAGGGACCAGGATCAAATTAAATACTACTTTCGGTAAGTTAATCGTAGAAGCTACCATACAACCAGAACAAATTCTCCAGTCATCCAGTAAAAATAACCAATTTTAGCAATGAATTCCATCTTGAAGACATATTAGAGAGTTTCTACATGTATATGCCAAAAGTAGGACATCAATTAATGCACAAGGTAGCATCTATGAACCACCTACCACAAAAGACATGCTCAAAGGAATAGAAGCTATGTCTCAACACAGAAGAACATCCATTCAAGTTAATCTTTATTTGACATATAATAAAGTTCGTCCTGCAAAGCATTCATCAGTGTTGAAGACAAATTCTACAAATAAGTTTGAAACAAAAAGTATCAGTAAAATAAAGACTGACTCTTAGCAAAGTGCTAAAACTGGATGCTCAAACGTGGAATGAAATTTAAGCATCAATATACTTTTACCCTGAAAATCACCAAAAAGGGTTTAGGCTCAGAAAAAACTTAATACCTAGTTGTTGCAAGAGAGCTTCCAGAGGGTGAGAAGTAAGCAGAATGAACAGCCCTACTATGGCTCACAGTCTTTAAGGTTTTGGTTTTATGTGCACTCATACTCCTTAAATCCCAAATGCAAGCAGTTCCATCCGTGGAACTGGTTGCCATAATGTTGGAGTTCTGTGAGTTGAAGTCTATGGTGTTGATCCTGTCTTCATGCAACATCCAGGTTTTGCTGGACTTCCCCGTCCGAATATCCCAGATGTTCAATCCTCCACGGCCCTCACCAAAATATAAGCTTGTGAAATTATTAGGCTGTTGAGAGAGGCAAAATATATTATCATCACAGGAATGCACTAGATCAAACACTTCCTTCTCAGCATCCATTAGTCGAATAAAACCATCATAGCAGCTAGTAAAGATCTGCACTCAAATGCAATAAATATAGAGAAAACATTATATATGTATTTACCCTAAACAAATTGTAAACCTGAAATCATAAATTCTGTATCTTCAAAATTTATGAGAGTAATTATGAATATTAATGCAGTACAACTTTTGAAACTCAAAGTACCTTTGACATTGAATATTGCTGAATCAAAATCCCAGAAACAGGAGCAGTATGTGGGCGATAAAGATATATCCCATCTTCTTGTTCATCCTCACAATCCACATTCCAAAATGCAATATTCCCAAATTTGTTCCCCGCTGCAATCATCCTCATACTGCTGCAAGGGAAAAACTTAACCACCATAATCCTTCCAGGCAAAAGCCGTGCTACATTCTCTGGTTTCAAATCCATTGATTCAAGCCAGGGATCAATCTTCTCAATCTTAACTGAACCATCCAAATACTCACTTTTAACCACACCCTCAACTAAGCCACAAGAAACCAGCTTGCTTTTTCCACTCAAATTTTCATTCAACTCTTCTTTAAGTTTCTCTTCCTTAACTGGACATTCCAAAACCTCTCTTTCGCAAGATACCGGTTTTCCTTTTTCATTAAAATCACTCAAATTCTCCTCTTTAGCATCCTTAACACCAGCAAACTCTTCCTTAGCTGAAACACCAACTTGGGTCTTCTTTGCAATACTCAAAATTGTCTCAACCAGCACTTGATTGGACTCCATTTCATCTCCACTAAAAGCATCTCTCATACTAATAGGACCCAAAACACGCGGCGATTGGGGCTTTAAAGGGCTAACAGATTTTGGGGTTTTTTCAAAATTTTCACAAAAATCATCAGCCAAACCCTTTGTATCTGGTGGCATGCCTCTTGTTCTTAATGATCGTCGGATTACAATTGGGGTCTCCGTCTTGGGTTTCTTCACTGGACTCACTTTATACGTTTTAGCCCTGCAAAGCAATCATATTTAAAAAGACAGTATCAAATTATTGTAGCAAAAATAGATGAAAACGAAGATAGATATACCTTTGGCGTTTGGTAGTGGCGGAAAGTGCGGTGGCTTTGGAGTGGATCTTGAGGGCGGCCACCATTTCAGCATTTCTCTTTATATTCTCAAGTCTTCTACGTTCATACTCCGTCAAATTCTGAGACGCCATGAGAGAAAAAGATTTGATAGCAGTGAAGAAGAGAGGAAAAGAGAGGTTTTTTAAAGGTTATTAAAATTTTTTTCCGTGGTCTTTTACGATATATTTAGGTGTATGTATGATGAGTGGGGAGTTTGGGCGGGAAATAATCTTGGCTGCAAAGATATTGAATTACTACGTGGCAGGTCTCTGGCCGTTGATTTTTCTACGCTTTGGAAAGTGTGGGAAATTGGTTAACATGAAATGATAAATGGGCCATAAGCCCATAAAATTTAGAGGACAGGTTCTGAGATTTGACTTCCGGGCTTCATGCTTGGATAATAGACTATTTTTAGTTTTACCTTTCTTTTCTTTTTTTTTTATTTGGTTTTGGAAAAAGTTTGATGCAGACAACGTATTTTATAAATGTTTTAATGTGAAAAAAGCTTAAGTTCTAAAAATATGTTATGATTAGTGAATAATTTAAATGTTTAAGTTCTTTGAATATCTTAGAAATCTAACCTAAATTCTGAAAAAAAAAAAATCTATTGTAACTTTACATGACGACATTGCTATTTATGAATAGTCTTCTCCAAGGAAAATGTTACAGCAAAACCAAAATGATGAAGGATGTTTTGTTGTTCTTTTTCTTCCTATTTTCATTTAATGAAAAAGATCATATTGAAAGTTTCCTTTGTTATAAAAACAAATACCGTCATTTGAATCTAATTAGAGAAAAAAATTATATAGGTTAAAATTTGAACTCAATAATTGTATGATTCATCTGAATTAAAATCCCAAATTCAGATGAAAATCGCTTCTTCCAACGTTTTAATCTCTTCTCTACCACGTTTCGCTATACTCCACCATTAAATATGTTCCAGCCTTGAATTTATGCTGTGTAGTGCTGCTGGGTGGTATCAGTGTCTAGCCCCTTCAACTTCACCACTGAATCAACGTGATCCTTGAGAATGTGGAGCTCCTATGAAAAAGGAAAAAATAATATAAGCATGCATGCTTCTCAATAATGGATGCTGAGGAATCAGGGTTTTGGACAGTTTACCTTGCAATCTCAGCTCGCTTCTTAGCCTGCTCAGCTGTTTCTGACAACTGGCTGTAGCTCTTTTCATTCGACCTGGTTTCTTGGGGTGAAAGGCCGTGGAGAGTACGTTGATTTGCTCCCATTGTGCCTCCCACTCTCCCTTGCCGCAGTCCTTCTTTGTTGTGAATGCGGTCTAAATTGATTATTGGAAACAACAAAAGAAATTTAGTCAAGCAATATATAGCGAAAAAGATGCTTAGAATCAGCTCAAAATGTCTTAATAAGAATATGTTTGACCTTGTTCTGAAGAAGGTTATCCCAGGCCTTGCCACTCAAAGAGTAACGGATGATGAACTTGAGGATATCAAGAGGGATGTACGTAATTACGCTGAAGACTCAGATAACACCTGCCCATCCCCATCCAATGCCTTGGATCCTGGCGAAGCGCCACTCTCCACAGACAGCAATGAGAGTAGCCACCTTATTGAACAAGTAAGAAAAGTTGTTATAGTTTTGAACAAACTTGCAAATAATATGAATATAATCATTGCATAGAAGTGAAACTTAGAAATATATCTATGCTGACCGGCTGTGCTGCAATGAAGGCTACAAGAAGCAAGAGACCAGGGTGCTCAACATAGGATCAGTGTCACGGGCTCTGACCTTAGACTCAGAATCCGTGCGGCCTTAGGCTTGGAATCTCCTCCTTTATGCCTAAGTTAGCCTAAAACACAAGCGTGCAGGCACTAGAACAATTGGAAGGGCTGATTACGCAAGTTAAAGAGAAACAGGACAAAAAGACAGAATTTTGGAAATGCTCTTGTATTCACTGAAACAGAAGTGTTTGATGGTGTACAAATGAGGGTGGAGCAACCCTCTATTTATAGTTGAGGCTTCAGCTACAACTTAATGGCAAATCCCTAGAATAAAGGCTAAAATCATGGGATTACAATCAATCAGGATGTTGGCTCCTGATTTTCAGGGTCAACCAAATCTGTCAGGATGCTGATGTTGATCCTGCCTGGTTCCAGAAGCTTCCCTTGCGTGTCCAGCACCTTGGGCCCTTCTGGATGTGGTGCGGGCAGCTTGTATGCCAGGCCTTGGTCTCATGGGCTGGCCTGCAAGTCGAGCGAGCGTTCTGAGCTCGTTTGCTAGGCTTTGCGCACAGATACCCGCCAGCACGCCTAGTCTGCGGGCCTGAACCTCTGGCTCGCCTGTTGGTCTACCTGATGTGCCTGGCGCGCCCGCCCAGGGCATGACATTCTCCCCCACCTGATTGCGCAACGCCCTCGTTGCGTCTTCTGCATGGTACTGCCTGATCTGATCCCCGAACTGCCATAAGTCCTCTGCTGGTTCCCAGCTCGCCTCACTGTCTGGAAGTCCCTTCCAGCGCACCAAGTACTCATGTCTTGGCTGATAGTTCTTCCGTCTCACCTTTCGATCATCTATGATGCTGTGGACCTCTTTCTCATATGAGGCCCTTGCTCCCAATGGCGCACGCTTTGACTCTGCCCGTCCTGGATCTCCCTCATCCTCATGGAACGGCTTGAGCATGCTCACATGGAACACCGGGTGTACCCTCGGCTTGGGTGGCATATCCAGCTTGTAGGCAACCTTGCCTACTCTCTTGACTACTCGGAAAGGTCCCTCATACCTCCGGACTAGGCCTTTGTGCAGCCCCTTGTGGCGCACAATGGGATACAGCTTCACTAACACCAAGTCTCCAACCTGGAACTGCACGTCTCGCCTATGCTGGTCTGCCCACTTCTTCGACCTCTTGGCCGCCTTGTGTAGACAAACTCTGGCCAAGTCAGTTTGCTCCTGCCATGCCTTGGCAAACTTGTATGCTGCTGGATTCGGCCCTATATAACCTGCAGCAATCGAACCGGGTGTTAGTGGTTGTTGCCCTGTCACAACCTCAAATGGGCTCTGGTTCGTTGCCTCGTTCCTTTGCAAGTTGTAGGAAAACTGTGCAATATCTAGCAGCTTTGGCCAGTCCCTTTGTGTGGCACTCACATAGTGCCTGAGGTAGACTTTCAATAATCCATTCACTCGTTCTGTCTGCCCATCGATCTGCGGATGCATGCTGGAGGAAAAGTTCAAGTCTGACCCCAACAGCTTGAACAACTCAATTTAGAACCTGCCCGTGAAACGCCCGTCCCGGTCACTAACAATGGTCTTCGGCACTCCCCAGTACTTCACCATGTTCTTCAGGAACAATCGAGCTGCCTCATCGGCTGGGCACTCCTTGGTTGCTGGAATGAAAATTCCATACTTGGAAAACCTATCCACCACTACCATTATGCTTCCAAACCCGTCTGCTTTGGGTAGATCGACTATAAAGTCCAGAGAAACACTCTCCCATGGTCGTTCTGGCACTGGCAATGACTCCAAGAGACCCCCTGGTTTCTTGAGCTCCACCTTGTCCTGTTGGCACACAAGACAAGTCTTCACATAGGCCTCTACATCGTCCCTCATGTGCGGCCAGTAGTACCGATCCTCGATTAGCGCCAAGGTGCGGCTCACTCCTGGGTGTCCAGCCCACCTTGAATCATGACACTCTTGTAAAACTTTCTTGCGGAGCTTTCCGTGCTGCGGTACAAACAACCTACTGTCCCTGGTGTACAGCAAACCATCCTGCAAACAAAACCGCCTAGTCTTACCTTGCTGGGCGTACTTCATCAGAGCCTTGGCTGTAGGATCATGCGTAAGTCCCTCATTGATGCGCGGCACCAGTGACCCCTCTGGTTGGCTAATGGCAGCAAGGTTAGCCTTCATGCTCAGGGCGTCTGCCACTAGGTTCGCCCGCCCCGGCTTGTACTCTATCTGAAAATCAAATTCCGTAAGAAAATCTTGCCATCTCGCCTGCTTGGGGGACAGCTTCTTCTGCGTCTGGAAGTAGCTGGTCGCCACATTGTCCGTCCTCACCACGAACCTCGACCCCAACAGGTAATGGCGTCAAGTGCACAAGCAGTGCACCACTGCAGTCATCTCATTCTCTTAGACCGTGTACTTGCGTTCAGTCTCGTTCAGCTTCTTGCTCTCAAACGCGATTGGACGTCCCTCTTGCATCAACACGCCTCTTATGGCAAAGTCTGATGCATCCGTATGCACCTCATACAGCTTGGCATGGTCTGGCAAGGCCAAGACTGGCTCCTCGATCACAGCCCGCTTCAACCTGTCAAAGGTTTCCTAGCACTCTGCACTCCACTCCCATGCTCTCCCTTTCTTGAGCAAGTCAGTCAACGAATGACCCTTGATGAAGCGCCTGTAGTAGTTAACCAGCCCAAGGAACGATCTCAACTCAGTGACCTTGGCTGGCGGTTGCCACTCCAGGATGGCGTCTATCTTGCCTTCATCCATGCGTATCCTGCCACCTCCCACTATGTGGCCTAGAAACGGGATCTCCTGCTGGGCGAATAAGCACTTCTCCCTCTTGACAAATAGCTTGTGCGCCCGTAACACCTCGAACACCTGTCTCAAGTGGTCTACATGCTCTCTCAAAGTCTGGCTGTAGATCACAATGTCATCCAAATAAACCACAACAAATCGATCAAGGAATGACTGAAGTATATTGTTCATAAGGGTGCAGAATGTTGCTGGGGCGTTCGTGAGTCCGAAAGGCATCACCAAGAACTCATACGAATCATACCGAGTGACACATGTTGTCTTTTGCTCATCTCCCTCCGCGATCCTGACTTGATAGTAGCCTGACCTTAAATCCAGCTTGGTAAACCACCTTGCGCTCCCAAGTTGATCGAACAAGTTCGCAATAAGTGGGATGGGGTATTTGTTCTTGATGGTCAACTTGTTCAAAGCCCGGTAGTCTATGCACAGCCGCAACGACCATCATGCTTCGCTGAATAGAACCGGTGCACCATAGGGTGCTTTCGATGGCCTGATGAAGCCAGCATCAACTAACTCTTTGAGCTGCTTCCTCAACTCCTTCAACTCTGGTGGAGACATTCGGTAAGGGGCTCTGGCTGATGGCTTGACCTCGAACACCAGCTCGATCTTGTGGTCCACCTCCCTCTTAGGTGGTAGCTTGCTAG